AGTGATACAAGTGAAGCCAACAGGGGTGAAAAGAATACAATCCCGTTTCTTTCCACCTTTTCAGAGTGTAAAGTGCCACCCGCTTCTGTTTTTATTCTTTCCCTCTTGAGTGAAATCAGGGTGAGCCATTGATGCTGTCATTGTTTTTGAATTGGCAGAAGTGAAAATGATAACAACTTGTCTTCCAACTGCTTTGGTGAGGATTGTGAAGTGGAAATGGGGCCAGGGGACAATTTGGTTTATTTACTCAGAGGTCCCAAAGTCCAGTGTCCACGATCTGGATGATCATGGTTGTCCCAAAAGTGCTTTTTGAAAAGCGACTGGGCTTCTTTGTTTTTTTTTCTTGACAGCATCTCACTTCTCATTCAAAAAGCTTTCACAGGTCTCACTCAGACTGAAGAAGATATTTGGATGAGAATATCTTTTTCAAGAAAAACCCCCAAAAAAGTCCAGTTGCCTTTTGAAAAGCATCTTTGGGAAACAGTATGGTAACTAAATCAAATTATCCCCTTGCCCTATTTCCACTGTAAAAAGCACTGTGAAGTGGTATATAAGTCTAAGTGCTCTTGCTCTTGCTATTTAAGGTGGGTGACTTCAACTCCTATAATCCTGGGAATTGAAGTCCATCCATCTTAAGGTGGCCAAGTATTGCTGTACTCTGATGAAACCAGTATTTCTCAAACTCGACAATTTTAAGACCTGTGGATTTTGGTTCCCAGAATTGAGGTCCACGTGTCTTTGTAGCCTGCAATACTGCATTCTAACCACTGCGCCACCGTAGCTCTTAAAGTAGCTCAGGTTGAGAGACATTGAATTACAAACTTGGTTGACAGGGCACAGGGTTGAATGCAGTTGCCTCATTGCAGGCTAGAGTATTTGGCAAACACATTTGTAGCCTTAGGAAGAAAAATCAGCACTACTTACTTTAGCTTCCTCAGCAGAGTCTATGCCGTTTCGTCCCCAGCCTATTGTGCCAGACCCAGAAAGCTGGGTCAAACAGCTGAGGTCCCATAAGGACTTACTAGGGCGAGCCCCGGTAGTCTTGGCAGTGGAGAGTCGGTTTCGTTGGACGTTCCTGTAGATATCGCTAAGAGCACTAGGTCCATCAGGAGGTCCCTGCTGGCCCCCTCCAGAATAATCCACACCCCGCCATGCTGCAAGTTGATTTCGGAGAGATGGTTTGGGAGCAGAGGGAGGCAACATGGGATCTTCAGCAGTAGCTGGCGAAGCTAACACAAGTTCCCACGCACCAGACTGGCTCTTGGCCACAGGTTGGGGGGCCACCGAGCGTCGCTCTGCAATTCGATTGGACAGCTGCACCCCATTCAACACACTGACGTATGGAGTCACATCTGGCCCATTGGTGCTAGGTAGAGGTGCCGCAGAAGCAACCTCGAGGTGAGGGGTCGTCTCTAGAGGTGGCAGGGGGCAGGAAGCTGCGTACAGAGTGCGAAATTCATGGTCAAACACTTTGATCACTTCTCCCGTAAGGCGAGTGACCAGGTGGCGGTTCAAACGAGCATCAGTCCAGGTGAAGCTGTTGGGGAAAAAAGGTAATTTTTGACTGTGCATTTTAGCCACTTCAGTTTCGAACTTTCTCATGGAAATACAAGAATAGCTAAACAATTGCTAAACAAATGGTTGTAAGTAGAAAACTAGCTGCATCTAGACTGATTTTGCCCTATCAAAATCATTGCTGTCCAAAGAGATAATAGATAAATATAGAGATGGAAAAGGCATACATGAAAAAAAATATAATTAAGAGAGCATGACAGGAAATTTATCAAATTATGCATGGCACCTCATAAGCTGATTCTTTTTCTCCAGTCACATCAGAGCACTCACTGGAATGATTAAGCAATGGATTTAAGACGAGACAAAGAAATTTTGTGCATGCAAGAAATTCCTTTGTAGGATGTATGCCATCATTTGTGGTAATACTGCAGTATTTTTGATTAAGATTGATGGGGTTTTGTCTTCAAGGGCTTAGAACTCCCCTCAGTTTTAATATTGAAAGTAAATTTCTATGACCAAAATAGACTTAGCTCTTTTTCACCTAGCTCTGGTCAACCACTCATTGAATTTCAGTAAAATAGAACACAGATCTGACAGATTGAAGTTAGTACATTCCTATACTAGATGGCTTTTAAATACAATCTTACAAATTCAGCACAATTAAATGAAGCCTCCATGGTCTCTGGCAGTATACCTGTCCTTTGGCATGACCTGCAATACATCTGACCTAAAACTAATGGGCATTAGTCTTTTTTTAAAAAAAACATGCTTTTTAAAGTTGGCATCCTCCAGCCATTAATTCTCCTTAGCAATTTTTGATGGAATGCTTTTAATTTTGATTTTGAAATCTTAAGATTTGACAGACTTATAAACCACTTCAGGATTCTTTGCAATAAGCAAGAATATAAAAAATACTTCTAATAAATAAACTATAAATAAATAAACCTTTCAACCCCAGTTGCTTGGAGACAACAATCTGGTTACTGTGCTGCCATGCTGGGAAATGTTCACAAAGCATGATATTTGCCACTGTGGGAAACAGGATCTGGCAAAGTTCATCTTGCATTCTCTGAGAGGGATAGGTCAAGCAAACATACTGACATAGTCCTATCATTTTACTGTTAATCTGTTTACAATCAAGGTTCTCTGCTTAAGCTTAAGTGTATTGTGTGAACGCATCCATTCAGTTATGTTGAAAAAGGATGCATTCATCCATTTCTTGGTTTGCCCTGTACAGTAACTACAAATTGAAGTACAAACCATCCAGAAAAACAAACAAACCAGGATAACAGCAGTGCAAATGCAACTCAAAATTTTTAAGTGGCCCAGTTAATCAAGTCAGTATTAGCAGAAAGCAGTTGGGACTGCTGAATTGTAGGGTGGATTAAGTCAGATTCAATTTGTAGAATCGGATGAAGTTTAGACTTAAGAGACAAGCTTGTCCCACCTTTCATCCCAAGACAAAACCCACAAGGAAAGATGTTTCTGTAGCCATATTATAAAGCCACATCTGACCAAACCGTAACAATCTTAGTCTACCACAGGAGCACCTATTACCGCATGAAGGACGGAGTGTCACTGTCAGCCATCTCTGACCATTAAAACAATTTTTCCCAATGTTCGGTCAAAATCTATTATTTGACTTCTATTTATTGCTTATAAATAATAGCCTTAATCATGAGGGTCAATGGAGATTAGCTTTGAAGGCCATCTGCTGAGGGACTAGTGGATTTCTTTGTGAAATTGTTAGACCACTGTGAGAACCGACTGCTGGAATAGATGGCAAAGCGTCCAATCCAATAAGGCCCTGCTTGTACTCTTTCACTCTTAATCCTGATCTCCACAATGACAAAAAATGGACTGTGGGTTTACTAGGGGCAATTTGGCTTTTTGACCCAGTGATGTATCGCTAAATCACCAACTGTTGATCTGGTGAGATCGGGAGCAGCCATCTTGGTTAATATCACATTCACATTTTCAGATGATTGCAACTTTCGCCCCCCTCCAAACATTTTAGGAAAAGAGAGGAAACAAGGACAAAATTCACACAGATATATAGGGACAAAAGAGCGGAGAGTCTGTTTTACCTAAAAAAGGAAAGACAAAACAAATCTGAGCTGCCACACTGGGAAAATCTTCATTTTATGGGGTTACTTTAGCTTTCTATCTCTGCCAGAAACTCAGAGACAGGACTAATTTCTTCTAAGTTAGATTACAAAGGAAAAAAGAGATGAGTCACTCAGTAACTAATCTTGCATATTTTAGAAGGGGTTGCTCTCAGTCTTAACTCAGAAACAAATGGGCTACTATGTCGAGATGAAATTCAAGGGTATCTGCAGAAAGATGTTTTTTTAAAAATCATGACAAGCAAACCCTTATCCTAAAGCACTATTTTGACTTTTTTTTTTTTTACCGTCACTGCAGACACCCCAGCTGACATCTTAGGTCTTCGACTTGATAAGTGTGATGTGAACATTTCATTTTCTGAGGTGGTCCTTCAGATACTTGAAAACAGCTGATGTGGCCCCTGCTGTTGTTTAATCTTCAGCTCTCTGGGCTAAACATAACCTATTCTGAGTATTTCGTTTCTGTCCGTTGAGCATTTCTTTTGACACAGATACATTTAGTTAGAGGAAGTGTTTTTTAAAGGAAATTTCTCAAGATGTAATAGACAGATAGCAATCCCGTTTTGCTAGTTTTCGTACAGATTTCCCATGTCTAAGCCCTAGTGCCATAACGTTCCCTCTTTAACCAAGATGTAAGAAGAAATAAAAAGCCTTTGGCATCTCTTGGTTGCAGTTTAAAAATCACCATAATGTTTTATTCACATTGCGAAAGCCTAAAGCATGCAGAAAAGAACTTTAGCACTACAAAGGCCTACATTTAGACCAAAGATTTAGTGAGAAATTCCTGTTTCAGCAATAACAGGAAATAATGAGCTGAATGTGCAGATATAAAATAAGGTTTATTTCAGAGGAAGTAACAATCATATAGGCAGAATTCCAAGGGAAGGCATGGCTAATTGCACATTCACTACTCAAACTGAATTTTGTATTTCAGAACAAAATTTCTTCTAGAAAGAGAATGGGTTTGACTTCCTGATTAGATCTTGTTAGGAGAACTTTGATATTTCCACAAAAATACAATAATATCATTTTAAAGTGTTTTGGCTCCCCGCAAAGATTCTCACTGGTGTTGTCTCAATCATATTATACAATGTTTTCTCTGCCCGGCTGTGATAAAAAAAAAAATCTAGATTCCCAAAATTTGAGAGGAACAAGAGACATCGTAGTTTAGATAGTTTGTGTGGGAGAAAATGGGTGAAAACAGCTCTTCCTTAATAGTTTCCCAGATTATTTTATTTATATCCTTTTATTATTTTTATAAATAACTCTAGGTAGTGAATATATCTAATTTGTCTTCCTCCTTTACAACAACTCTGACATGAGTTGGGCTGAGATAGAGTGACTGGCCTAAAGTCACCCAACTAACTTTAATGCTTAAGGAAAAACTAGAACTAGTCTCCTGGTTTCTAGCCTTAATCACAAGACCAAACTAGTTGTATGTTTTATGTAATTATGTTTTAGTGTGTAAGCAGTCTGCTTCAGTTTGACAAGATTTCTGTCTTTAGGTGAGGAACAATAAAGGAAATGGCTCTCAGAATCTCGACGTGGTTTTCTTTTTTTGGAGCCCAACAGTGGCCATGAGAAGGACTTTATAAAATGGCAACAGGTCTTTACTCCTTTCCCCACCCATTTCCTCAATTTTGCCACAATCATTTCATCAGCATCGAAAAAAGAAGCCAAAATGCCAATGAATGGGGTACATAGCAGAGCCAGTCCTATCTCAAGATAGGGGGAAGAACAGCAGGGTGTTAGGAAAAGGAACGCACAAAGGGCATTTCCCCAGCAGTGAGAATTGACCTCTCTGTGACTCCAGAGGAAACACTGCAAATGTATCTTCTGGAGCAAAACCCGAGTCGAAAATTAATTGACTAAAGCTGCAGAAGTGTTTACAGATCAGAAGATGATTCATGGCCTTCCAGACCAGTCAAACGTGGCTGATTTGTGCAATCAAGGTGAAGTAATCGTGGGGGAGCTTGTTGAAGGCTATTGTACAACTCTGTGAAACCACCTATAGAACCATCTCTCTGATACCATATGGGTCTATATATGGGCAAATTCTTTTTGCCTCCCATCCATAAGGCAGCTGAAATGGTGGCATCTGTCTCCCTTTCTATGGGTAATCCTAACGAAATTAAAATGTCCCTTCCTTTAATGGACTGTCATCATGATTAAATATCTTCATTATTCTTAAAAAAAATATATAAAAAAAAACCTTCCCCTGAATTAGATCACACAGAACCACATTTTGAATTGAGGAAGTAGGAGATCATTTTTCTACATGCTCAAGCAGGACTAGAAAGCTTTCAAGTTCTCTTTCAACTCTATGATTCTAAGATTCTACGATCCAGGTGTAGGCTGCTAGGGGTTCACAGGGGTTCAGGAGAGCCCCTAGCTAAGATTCTGCATAGATTGGAGACCGCCCAAATCCCACTCCTGGCTGGCCCCGCCCACCCCTCCCCTCCCAGGAGTCCCACACAGCCCATTTTGTATGCAGGTAAGTGCAGGGCATGTACAGAGGCTCAGGGAAGGTGAAAAATGGGCCTCCCGGAAGTTTGGGAAGGCCAGAAATGGGCCCATTTTCGGATTCCAGAGACCCTCCTGAGCCCAGGGAGACTGTTTTCGCCCTCCCAGAGACTCAATGAAAGCCTCCGGAGCCTGGGGAGGGCAAAAACACCCCCCCACCATGGTGCAGGAGGCTGACTAGGCTACGACCACCATGGCCACACCCAGAGGTGGGATTCAATTTTTTTAACAACCAGTTCTGTGGAAGTGGCTTAGTTGGTGGACATGGCTTGATGGTCATGTTATTGGCTGGGCATGGACAACTCAACATCACTCACATCGAAGCACGCATCTCCTCGCCTGGCCTCTCGTGACTGTGGGGATGCTGCAATAG